CCAATCTCTGGGATTTGTTGCAGTTTCTGAAACAGTTTTTTTCACTATGGGTTTTTGACAGGTGATTGTTTTCACTAATGAGGTAACGTTTCTCTGCTTGCCTTTATCCAGGCTGTTCTGCATACTCAAAACTCTATGTGCGATTGATCCAGTTAAGAAACCTTCTTTCTGCTTGTACCATTCATCACACTTCCATTGCTCAATGGTCAATTCATTTACATGGTCAACTTCTTCCTGGCTATGAGACAAATTAGTAAGAACATCGTTGATTGCAGCTTCAGCATGACATTCAGGACCCAATTGTTCACAGAGCATATTGACCTTTTCCTTCAGGATTCCATTTGCAGAAGTTAATTTATTTCCACTTTCATTCAAATTTATTACATCATCATTTTCAATATCATTTTTAATAATAGGGCAATTAGGATTACCATATAACTTGGCCAGTAATGGCAAAATTGCTGGGTTGCGCAACCACTTGTTTCCAAAGAATATGTGAACTGCCTTAAAGATTCATTTGTCGGGGGAACCTGGTCATCTTTATGCCTTAAATCCATGACTATGTGTTCATTATAAACATGTTCGCTCTTGGTTTTTTTTAAAGGTAAATCACAATGGGCAATTAGTAGATCTTTCACATCACAAGGTCTGCTGTCAACGGTTGATTTCTTGGTCCATATACATGGCATATTAGTCGGGCTGTCCTCGTCATGGGTATTCAGTAAATCCTCTAGGGAATACATGGCTGCAGCAATATGCTTGCAGCCACCATCGCGACCCCCTTTACAACGACATCTAGCTTTGACAACACTCCCTCGGTTGGCCCCTTTACCTTCAAGTATAAACCAGCAGTCATAGTACGTTTCCCTTCGTCCGTCTTGTCTTTCATAGCTGGCTTGACTTTACCCATATACAGATGAAGTCTTTCGTTTGACAAAGTCTCAGTTAGCAGAGATTCAACATATCCGTCCTGGAAAAGGCGATATTCATCTAATGACTTGTATGCTGCCAAACCTTGTTTATCGTATTCGGTTGAATGGTGAATAAGGTAATTATAGATATCATACAACCCAAATGGTGGAGAATTAGAGAAGTTATTTACAAGCTTGTGTTGCGAAGTAAACGGATTTCTAATCTCCATATCATCAATATAAAACTTTTCATTCTCCAAAGTATTCTTTTCTTCAAAATTTGGATTTAGAGGAAGCATCATTTTATTTACAGCAGTTGCTATCTCTACTAATGCAGGTTTTAAGTATCCACTCACACTTACACCACGATTTGCAAGATATTCCTTGAGCTCAGTAACGCTCATCTTGTTAATAGATTTCGATCGTGATTCTTCAGAGGACATATTTCTCAATTATTTCGTCGAATTTCTTTAATATTCTCGGTAAAAACGCGAAAAAAATCAGATTTTGTTCACCACTTAAACGCACGTGTAATACTATATATACAATTTGTTCGCAATGTTTGTCCGAGTCGCTGTTATTTTTAACACGTGCAGTGTCACGTGTTGTTGAGTGTCAGAAAGGTGGATTTCTCGCCATGTCATTTTAGTGGCAAGACTCTCCCCTAGACATATTGCAAGTAAACGGGTTAGTACTTCTACAATGAACCCATTGACTGGCAACGTCCCATTAATTTAAGATACTTCAATTACTCATTCAGTCTGTCTTTAGCCAGAGAGCCTTCCAGCTTGTCAAGAGGAGGGTCTTGCAACTTAATGGTTTACTTTTAAAATTATAATGGACTTAAACAAGCATACTGTACTTACATAGTTTTGGACTTCGTGGAGGAGTTATTTCTTTGCTGATACCATATAAGACACTAAAAAGTCAATTTCCGACAACAGGCGCTCAACATTCCCATCTGCGAACTGGCATGCAACACAATCGAGATTCAAGATTCTTAACTTCTTGTTTCCTCAATTATCTAAAGAATATAAATTATATAGTGATCACATGACATTGGAAATTCGCCTTAAGCTATATGATGACGCCAGTTACTTGACCTCTGTAAAGTATAATTGGTCGAAATGTGATATTGCTAAAGTTGTATATTTGGGGCAACAGACGGACTGGTTCTACTCGGGTGTATTTGATAATTCTGTAGATACACAAAGTCAGGAATCATTGAATAAGATCTTGAATATTGTTGATAACTCTGTGCCAACTATTAAGCTAAAAACTACGAAGGAAGGAATTCCAATTAAGAAAGCGCCATGGGAATGCTCTAGACTTCAGCATTCTAGGAAAGCAAAGGATAAAGCTTGGCACTGTTTTGATACGTCCCCCACACATTACAATCTTATGTCTGCTATTATTGAGGCTCAAGATCAATATAAGACTATAGAACGGGAAAGTAAGGAAAGTTGTGAGATAAAATTGGCTAAAGGAATAAAGTACAATTCTAAGCAGTTCTATGCATACTTACGTAGTAAGAAAAAGTCCAATCCCACTGTATCTAAGTTGAAAAAGCCTAATGGAGAATTTACAACTAGTGTAAAGGAGTCTGCTGATTTGCTTGTCAAATCTTTTGCAACTGTTTTTACAAACGAGACTTCACTCACTCGCGATTGTAACATGGATATTATCGCTGTTAAACAAATTGATCCACTAATAATTAGTGACTATGATGTGAAAAATGAGCTGCTGGCTCTAGATGTCTCATAGTGTGCTGGGCCAGATGGAGTTCATCCAAAAATTGTTAGAATTTTAGCGGGAAATGATAATTTTGCGAGTGCCGTAACAGTTTTATATAGATCTATTTCAGACGTCAGACAATTCTCAGAAGCTTGGAAGAGAGCAATTATAATTGCATTACATAAAATGGGGGCATTTAGTGATGCTGGAAATGATCGACCAATTTCTCTAACTTGCATCCTATGTAAAGTGTATGAAAAGCTTTTGTTTAAACATCTGTACAGTCATGTTAAGGGATTTATTAGTCGGAATCAGCATGGGTTTATGGAAGGAAAGTCTTGTCTCTCTAACTTGTTGGAATCACTACAATATATTATCACTTTTTGGATAGTGAAGATCCTGTTGATCTTATATATTTGGATTTTCAAAAAGCTTTTGATAAGGTTGCACACGAAAGATTGTTGTTAAAGTTAGAAAGTTACGGAATTACTGGGCAGGTTCATGACATTATAAGGAACTTCCTGACAGGTAGATCAATGACAGTACGTGTGGGAGATCATATTTCATCATGGGAGCCTGTTACTTCTGGAGTCCCCCAAGGGTCTGTTTTGGGACCCTTGTTATTTATATTATTTATTAATGATATGCCACAAGTTACTAAATTTAATACTTTGCTTTTCGCTGATGATTCCAAAGTTATTGGTAATGCAAATTATCCGGAAGATATTCAAACAGACATTGACTGTCTCAGTAGGTGGTCAGAAATATGGCAGATGAAATTTAATGTGGAAAAGTGTGGTGTACTTCACATCGGAGAGAGCAATCCGCAACATGGCTATACTAAGAATGCGATTGAGCTGAACAAACCTTAAGTGCTTCATAGTTATTATTCTGTAATACTTTACTTCAAAATATGCATGGTAACAGTAGCAGAATTTAGATTTTAACCGCTGCGATTTGCTCGCAACTGTCGCAAGCAACGAATTAAATAGAGCACGTGAGTTTTTCTAATTCTATAAATATTCAACAAAAACATTACCTTCCAGTATCTATTCGCATTCTTTGTCCACACTAGCAGTTTGTTTAAGTGAGGATGAAGTTTGTAGATCCATATTAAACTTTCATATGGAAAAATTTAATAAAATTCAGCGAGCAAGTGAACACACAGCCGTTGAATTCGGCGCTTTCTCGGTATATGACCTTAGCATACCTTAGCATACCTTAGCCTACCTTAGCCTACCTTAGCTTACCTTAGCCTACCTTAGGGTACCTTAGCATACCTTAGCCTACCTTAGGGTACCTTAGCCTACCTTAGCCTACCTTAGACTACCTTAGCCTACCTTAGACTACCTTAGGGTACCTTAGCCTACCTTAGCCTATCTTAGGGTACCTTAGACTACCTTAGCCTACCTTAGACTACCTTAGGGTACCTTAGACTACCTTAGTCTACCTTAGACTACCTTAGCCTACCTTAGACTACCTTAGGGTACCTTAGACTACCTTAGCCTACCTTAGGGTACCTTAGACTACCTTAGCCTACCTTAGACTACCTTAGCCTACCTTAGACTACCTTAGGGTACCTTAGACTAACTTAGGGTACCTTAGAGTACCTTAGGGTACCTTAGACTACCTTAGTCTACCTTAGACTACCTTAGGTTACCTTAGACTACCTTAGACTACTTTAGCCTACCTTAGCCTACCTTAGACTACCTCAGACTACCTTAGACTACCTTAGCCTACCTTAGACTACCTTAGGGTACAAATGCTTACTTTCTGATAAGTGATTTAAGATCAGTTTTCTGTATAAGGGATAGATTGCAATTGTCCACATGGAGGTCATGCAAATGCCCACATCGCAAATGATGGTATCAACAACCTTGTCTTTGCACTCTTTAGATAATACATTTAATGTTAATGTCACTTAATATGGGGTAAATCACAGTCGCATCAATAAGTGTTGAATGATTACTAC